GTTTCTGTCTCTGCTCTCGCTCTCTCTTTTTTGTCCCCTTCTAGATGGTAGCAATGGCTGAAAGCAGGGAACTTGGAAAGGCACATTGAAACTTTTCTCTCCAGCCTGCGAAGATTCATAGAAAAGTCGGTCTAGAAAAGATAGAATGTTTAGTAAGCTACAGAGCAAATGGCAAACCAGCCAGGAGGTGTCTGCAGTTGCCAAGTGTGCCTCTGGGGCACTTACCTCCTCTGAGAAAAATGGGTCAAAAAGGGGAGCAGTTAAACTCGGAAGCTAATCTGGTAGAGGGAGGATTCCTTCAGAGAGGCCTGGGAAGGGGAGGAAGAAAGCCAACTGGAAGAGCTTGTAAGCAGGGTTTGCTCTCAATGAATGCTTGAGCGAATGAATAAATGCCTTCAGACAAAAGGATTAGTAATATTGAAATTAGTAATATTTTCAATATTAGTAATATTGAAAATTATTGAAATAATACCTTACCCCCCCAGTTCAATATTAGGTCGGTGCTTAGAAACTGCGCAGAGCTGAAGAATGAGGCTGTGCCACCAGGGGGCAGCAGAGCCCCACGTGGGAACTGACCCGCGCTTGGGGGAAAAGCAGCGGCCAGTTGGGAATCAGCACACTCCAATTGCTAAGATGACTGGTGTTAGGCGCACCCCGGGGAGACTGTTATCTTTCACCCATTTTTTTTTTAGCATGTAAATGTACAGTACACACAAGACGAGAGAAGTAAAGAAGAGATGTCCTCTATAAAGTGAGGCACATCAATCGAGAACGGGTAGCATTTTGCCTGTTAAAAGGCCTCAGTGCTTTAGCCCGAGGACCATTTCTGGTGGCGGTTGGAGTTTCAGGAATGTGGGCCCCGTGTTTTTTCCTTCTGTGGTTCTGTGTAACTCAGACACTGAGCCAGGGTGAGGCTGGGGGCTGGGGGGCCCAGGGAGAGGCAAGATGTGCTGTTTATTTGCCTGGCTTGGAGACTCGGCCACGGCATCCTACTCCTAAAGGTCAACCTGTGCAGTGGGGGGCTGGTATGGGGAGGCCAGTGAGCCTAGGCGGTGGGACCAGAGACTTTTCCTCGTGGGGTGCTGTGCTCTCACCCCAAGGAGAAGAGCGGGGCTCAATCAGGGAACTTGGACGTGGTTAAAAGCAGGACTCAGGGGCCCAACCCTCCTGTCACAGGGTTTGAATCCCTGCTCCGCTTTGGCTGGAGAGCGTTTGATGAGTTACCTCATTTGTGAGTCAGTGTCCTTATTAGTGCGATGGGAAGAATGGTACTTCATCCCAGGATTGTTGGGAAATTTGAGTGATTTTTGTACAGGTATCGTGGCTTGGCTCATAAACAATACGAAGCGTTAGCCGTTACTGTTATTGTTGTTATCTTTAGCCAAAAGCGTGTGGCAGTTCCGGGGTGAGTTTAGGCCAGAACTGAGACCCTGGGTATCCAGTCTGGTAGGTGGGCGCAGGAGCAGGGGATTCTGGGTAATGGCCATCCTCGGTCTCAGAAGAGGCCGGCGTGCTGGCTCCATGTCTTCCGACCAGAGGCCCAGGCGGTTGCTGCAGGTACAGGGGAGGGCCCAGCCCCCGAGTGGCTACTGCTGATGAGAGCCTGGCAGGTCGTCTGTGACCGAGACTACCCACTCAGGGTCGGGGGACTCTGGTTCTAGAGAGCACCTGGAATAATACGAATTGTAACAAGTAATCCTGGCTGAGCACTTGCTCGGAGCCAGGTTTTACCTGTTCTAACTCACGTCGTCCTCACAGCAACCCCGGGAAAAAAAAATCACTGCACAGATGGCCCCGTGGGGGCATGGAGAGGCCATTAGAATGCAGGTCGGGGTGCAGGGAGTGACAGGGCGAGCCCGCGGGGTCAGAAGATGCAGCAAGGCCCGGGGGACGTGTGGGACTGGAGGCCCGACCTGGCCAGACCAGGCCCCAGCCCTGTGGCAGTGACACCAACTGCACGCCCCGCCGGCTGCTCCTGCAGAGGCTGCTGGAGACCACCGGCCTTGGTCTGGATACCGGGGTGGGGCCGCGAGGGTCTGGTCAGGACGGGCCTGCCGGGAGGAGAGGCGCAGTCTGTGACCACGGACTCCCCCACCACAACGGCATAAGCCACTGACACTAACGTCCTTGACCCAAATGCAGAGGTGGGAGCAGAGGTGGCACAGTTGAACAGTTGGCTCTGGGGAAGCCTTTCATTTGGTGTTCTCAAACACACGTATTATTAGCGTGCGAAGGCAAAGAACCTTTTCTCTTTGAGAACTGTCATCTTTAATCATCGGAATATCTTTAAAAGGCTCCACTATTCCTTTTTACGCAATTTGCATGAAATGAGGTTTTAAAATATAATATTTTTTAAAATGCACTTTGCAGATGAGTTAATTATTATTATTTTTTTTAGTGGTACCTTGACTGAAAAAGTCCACTGCTGGCAGATTCCAGTGACGTTAGGGCTGGCCGCCCATTACGTTAGGAATATCTCGAAGGAGCTGCCCAGCATGCAGACAGGAGAGCAATCCTGCTTGTTAGGTGGGCTGTGGATGGCATGTCTGTTCTTCCTGCTGGAATGACAAGGGACAAATGCCAAATGGTTTAAATAAAAGGGAGTCAACTGGACCGAAGATATAAATAGATTGCAATAATGAGCTGACTCTAAAGAAAAACCAATAACCACTTTTTTAGGTAAAAGCAAATAGAATGAAAAATTGGATTGTTCTCCTGTGTGTACTTGTACATTCAAGGAATCGACATGTCTGTCACCCCGAATGAGAAGACACCCAGCGTCAAGAACGGAGCATTGCGGAGGGAAGTCACCCTCCTGGGACAGTGGTGACATGTGACTGTGCCGTCTTCAACCTGGCAGGGAAGTTCTGCCCCGAGGAGGGAAGTCATTACTGGGAAGCCAGCCAGTCACAAAACGCACCTCTCGTTTCTCTTAGTTACAGATATCTGTGTCATTTTAGACCTCACGCCGACTGGGGAGGGAAAGGAGGGCTTCTGAACTGACCTTGACTGTGAATCCCTGAGCTGGGAAGTGACTGGATCAGGTATTTTCCTGCTTGCTGGCAAGGGAGGCTGACTTCCCATCCAGCCGCTTCTCTGCTGTCTGGGTGGGTTTGCACACGCAGTGACCTCCAAGGCCTCGATACAGCCTGGTCTTCAGCGGACCAGGGCTTGTGGTTGGCTTATGCTCAGGAGCCTGCAGCCCACATGCAGAGTTGCTTATTTGGAACTGGAGACATTCAGTGGTGTAAAGATTGTCTTCTGTCAACACTGCTTTTGAAGCCAGTGTCACATTCAGACGCGAGACTTGCTTTCTCCCCCAGAGTCTGGCACCAACAAAAGCCGGTCTGTCTGTCTGTCTGTCAGGAATGGTTGTGGCCTCCTTGCGTCTTGGCCTCGCTGCTGAGTGGTGTGAACTCTTCCAGCCTCCACGGACCCATGGACACTACGTTCTAATTGTTTCCTCATTTGCTGATGGTCATTAGGTCAAAGTGAATTTGCTTTAGAGAGCTGGAAAAGGGTGGAGAATTAACAAGGAGGAACTCAGTATATAGCTAAGAAAATCTGCGAGTGAGGTGGGAAGGTAAGGAGGAGTCTGGGTGGGGCGTAAGACGGGGCGGGTACTGGCTCCTAGCAGATGCCGAGCTTCCCCGGGCTGACCCTGAAGCTAGCTGTTTTGTTAGGAGGGAGGAGAAACAGATGGCCTCGCCTTACTAGCAGAGTGACCACAGTCTGCACAACATCGTAAAGTTACCCCCTCTTTCATCCCTGATCGCAAAAGCAATCAGTTGTTAAAAACAAGCTAAAACTCTTACCATCCAAAGGTTCCGGTCACTGTTGCCAGCGTGGCGAATGTCCTTCCAGCCTTTCGTTAGCTATGCATGTTGAACAGAAACAGTCTTCGTGGCTCCCTGATACTGAGGTGCACTCATGCATTTTTCCAGCCCCCCACTGTTGGACATTCGGTTATTTCCTTTTTCCTCTCAGTAAAATAACACAGACACGAATGATCGGGCACGTAGGTATCTCCGCACTGAAGATTTAGCCGTCCATGGCTTGTCGATGTAGGCGTTTAGGGTCTGGTGGAGAGAGCATGCATGGTTGCGGGAAGGATGCAGATGAAAACTACCCTCAGTTTGTGCCGTTGGGTCATGTAGTGCAGCCGCAGTCGCCCTCAGCTGTGATCCGTACAAGTCTGCAAATCCCTGGCGTGCCCAGGCTTCCTTCTTGGATGTCCTTCCCAGCCAGCACCCCCACTTGTCGTAGCTGACCTGGCGAACCCTTCGAAGCAGTTTCTGTTGCTTTAACAACACAGGTTGGTGTGGGTGGGTGAATATTTTCCTTGGGGGAACCTTGGAAAACCAAAGGAAAAAGGGAAGTCCCATTAGTTTGATTAATTTCTGTTAAAAAAAAAAAAAATTAAACCAAGGAGCTGTCCTTGGTGTGACTGAGCAAGCAGATGGCAAAATGGGGGACTCCGTTTGTGCAGATGATCATCATGCTATGGCACCAGACGGAATTTCTTAGTCTGGCTTCTTGCCATAAGAGGACAGTGAAGAAAGTGGTAGAATATATGGTAAACATGGAATAAACATCCACCCCTTGGCGTGCAGATCACTTGTCGCCTCCAAGGGCAGTGCTTGCCACCATCCCTTGATGTGAGGGGAGAGTGGAGGCTGAAGCACCCACAGGGTCCCTTCCCGCAGGAATGGGCCTTTCTCCTTTACGTCCCGGGTTGGGCCCTCGTTGTCAGATGCTGAATCAAGTCCGTGGCCTCTGCCAGCTAGCGTTTGCAGAGTCAGTTCCATCCTTTATGCATTCACGTCAGCTCTGCAGTTCAGGGCGACCTTCAATCTAGTCTCCTCCCTGGAAGATTCAGGAAACCTCCACGCCCCTCTTGTTTTTCTGTTTGTCTGGTGGTGTAAGGGTGAAGTCGCATTCATTTCAAGTTTTGTAGTATAGTATAGTATAGTTATGCATTTCAGAATCTGTGTGTTTGAAACTCTTGTGCATCCATTAACAGCAGGCAGTGAGGTGAGACCTCTTGGGCAGAACTTTTAATTTTTTGGGGGGTCTGTGTTGTTCCCATGTATTAAATATACATGCAGTGGTTTGTCTATATCTCTGAATAATCAAAACCTCCCTCTGTCACCTTTGGTGTCTGGCTCTGAACCGTCGTCTACTTCTGCCCTGTGGCTGGTCCCGGGGACGGCAGGCAGGAGGGAAGAAGGAGAAGAAGGTGCAGCGGGAGGCACATAACCATCGGATCCTAACCGCCAGTTACCTAGTGCTTTTCACATGCCAGGTGCTGTGCTTCGTGCATCATTTACTTTATGATATTTAACCATCACAACAGTTTTTTCCCCTTCGCGTATGAGGAAACCAAGCCTCAGAGAGGGAAAGTCACTTGCTCGGGCTCACACAGCGGTGTGGTTTGTGCTAGAATCTGATTCCGATTTTGTCTGGCTCCGAAGTCAGCGTTCTTAACTGGTACCCTGTACCTGCCACCTGCTAAGGAAGAGCCTCGTGCCACATACTGTCCCTGCTTGTGTCTCCTCTGCCTTGTTTCAAAGACAACTTAAACGGAGATGACACGCCCACGCCGAATTTCCCCCTTGTTCTGAGGCTCCGTCTCTCGTGCTCCCTTTCTGTTGCCTGCCACGTGCTCCTTTTGACCCAGCCGTGTTTTCAACAGCCTTAGACGTGAGTGGGTGATGGCTGAAGACAGGCAGGCTGAGACTGAACCCAGAGAGACCCTAGAGTCGCGGGGCAGAGTGCAGGAGGCGCTGTTTTCCTGGGTTTCTGCAGGGTCGTTGCTGGGGTGCAGGACCCGTCTTGGCTCTTGGCGCTGGGCTAGCTTGTCGACCCCACCCTATTCTTACCCTGGGACAGAGTTTTCAGGCTCAGACTTGACTTTTCCACCGAAGAACATGGAGTGTTCCCAAGGCAGGTTAAACCAGCCCTATTTTAGTGGATACAGCGGTCATGTTCGTGGGGAGTTTATTACAGCCATCGTCCTGGGGACTGTCTGGAAGCGTTAAGCATGGAACAACCCAGTGACCACTTTTGTTCCCCTGTAGATGCAGCAGCAGGAGCACGGCCCGCTGAAGTTCAGCCTTCCCGTCCTCGCCCGGGGGCTGGGCCGCCTCTTCTGTGGCTGGTGCTTGGCGGAGCTGATGGTCCACCTCATGTACATGCACGCCATCTACAGCAGCGCCCCGCTCCTGGGGGCCGTCTCCTGCTGGACCTTAGGTAACTGTGGGAACTCCGCTCTCAGACGAACGCGCTTCAAGAGCCGGCGGGGGTGCAGTCACCTTGAGCAAACCCTCTTTTTTTTTTTTAAACCTTGTTCTTCTTGTGGCCCAGCCATCGCGTGTGTAGGTGGCTGACGGAGGTGAGGGCCAGGCTGTGAGGTCTGGGAACCAAGCAGGGTAGCAATCCCTTTTCATAATGGAATCCGACTACTTCGTAGCTGGGTCTGCCTCTTCCTGGTGTGGCCAGTACTGCTCCTGACAGGGGGTGGGCAAGAGATGCCCAGGGCGGCCCGAGACCCTGCTGCGAGGAAGAGCTCCCGGACTG